AGGTTTTGATCCAAACTCATTGCAGGTATTGTGGACTTGAGCCCTCGTAAGTATCATAGATCTGGCATATCTTGAAGTATGTATACTATTTTGATGGGTGAGTCTTAGGCGAATGAGTGATGCAGGCAACCAAAGGTAGCATAGGTCACAGCCAATAACAGTTCTTCATGCCAAAAGTATGGGATAAATTCAAGTTCTGATTTTCTGCCTAAAAATCCTTATATGACAATAAGTTTGACATGAAGGCTAGAAATTTGTGGTTATTGATGGTTTGTTGAACTATGTTGGGAGCTCAACATATCTTCACTTCTCGAGTCCTATCTGCTACATTATTGCTTTGCTTGGGGAGGAGGGGGGTTTTGGTTCATATACATGGCTTGCTCCTTTGTATCTTGAACTTATGCATTATTTAATGCAGAAATGAAGAGACTATTTGTAACTTGTTGCTTTAATTAGAGATGAGGGTTTTTTGCATTTATATGCATGACTTGCTCGGCATCTTCAGTTTATGCATTTGATGCAGATCTTGATTTTGTTTTCTTACTTTTACCAATCAAGAATTGTTGAAATGGAATACATTTTTGAATTCACTGTTCCAGATTTCTGTTTGGTGAGTTGCATGTTCAACTAGATTACCCTTTTAGTTAAGCTGTAATAAGTACATGCAGCTGTAATTTGAGTCAGTTTTTGTACTCAACTTGTTTTTTTTATCCCTCACAGATTATCAAGAATGAAGATCTTGAGGAGTTGAGGGAATTAGGTTCTGGAACATTTGGAACTGTTTACCATGGAAAATGGAGAGGAACTGATGTTGCCATAAAGAGAATCAAGAAAAGTTGTTTCACAGGCCGCTCATCAGAGCAGGAGAGACTGGTGAGCGTCTTTGGATACGTGTAATTATGTCTGCCACAATATAATCAATCAGCACCTGTTTTCCTGACTCATCAGCTTGAACTCCAACTTTGTAATTTGTATGACCAAAGTTGTATAAACATGTTTTCGCTTGCATTGTTATTCTTCATGCTGTATCTTTGTGTTGCTCTGCTTGCTGTTTCTGCTGTTCCGTGAGACCGTGTACAAACTAACTTAAGGTTTACAAACTTACACATTGTTGCAAAATATATGTTGGACCATTTTAGTCAATTTTATAGTAGTATAGAAGTAGATGTTGAGCAAATTTCATTGTAGTTCAGAAATCTAATTCTGTTTTGATTAAATTTAAACCTGTAGAAGTGTATTAGTTCATATATTTGTCATGCTTTGAGGTTTTTTTTATACTAGCATTTTTGTAATGGAATCAATGAACTATTTCCAGACTCTAGAGTTTTGGCGTGAAGCTGAAATTCTTTCAAAGCTTCATCATCCAAATGTGGTGGCATTTTATGGTGTAGTGCAAGATGGGCCAGGGGGAACTCTTGCAACATTAACAGAATTCATGGTGAATGGGTCTCTCAGACATGTTTTGCTTTGCAAGGATAGGTGTTATTTCAAACCTTTCAACCTTTATATTATTTCAATTTATATCTAGCTCTGCTTTGGTGTTTCCTTATGACAAAACTTCTTACTTTCTGCCTATTCTGACTTACCAGACACCTAGATCGCCGCAAGAAGCTCATAATTGCAATGGATGCTGCATTTGGAATGGAATATCTGCATTCAAAGAATATTGTACATTTTGATTTGAAATGTGACAATTTGCTTGTCAACTTAAAAGATCCTTCTCGACCCATCTGTAAGGTGTGTACAAGTATATAATGGTTTTAATTTAATATTTTAGAAGGAAAAAAAGGTCTGATGATTGTAATCACTAGCTGATATATTAGCATATCTAGGAGCACCTTTCTTTTTATTGATAATTCATGTAATGATCTTAAGAGTGCCTTTGAACTGCAAATACTTTCCTTCGCAACTTACTTTGTTATTCACTCATCATGATCATGAGTAACAAGTTTCTATTGACAGAAAATTCATTTCATCAAGAAATGAACAATAAAATGTTGTGTAGGATCAAGCAAAACTAAAAAACAAGATCATGTCAATTTATTGTAGGTTGGTGATTTTGGACTTTCAAAAATAAAGAGAAATACGTTGGTCACTGGTGGTGTTAGGGGAACCCTTCCATGGATGGCTCCCGAGTTATTGAATGGTAGCAGTAATAAGGTTTCTGAGAAGGTAAGATTTCAGATTCTAATCTTTACATTGACATATCCAAATCTGATATGAATACATTTTTGTTTCTTTTTGTGGCATGGGGATTGGGAGAGCATATTTCGTGCTGATCAACCCAAATTTCTATTATTAAATTTTCATGCTAGTCCCCTTTTAATTTGTGATGGTAGTAAGTGCGTTGATGCTTCTCTCTATCTGTTTTCCAAACCTTCGAAATCATTTGGATGGCCTGTTCTCTGTCATTTTCTGTCTATTAAATATCTGCAGTCGATAACTTCTCCTTTTGTTTTTCTATGCTCTCGCCAATTTCCTTACTGGTAATCTTTGTTTGGCAATCAAGTTGATAAGGACTTTAATGCATAGATCCATGTAAAGATATGACACCTAGGCCTAATTCAACCCCAAAAGCTAGCTCATGAGGGGAGGATTGCCCAAACGCCACATAAGGAGACCACCAGTCCATTTTCCAACCAATTTGGGACTTTTACCCACTCTAATACCCCCTTCACGCCCAAGCCCAACTGGAGCGTGGTCCGGGACCCCAAACGGGGATGGACCTAGCTCTGATACCATGTATAGTTATGGCACCTGGGCCTAACACAACCCCAAAAACTAGCTCATGAGGGGAGAATTGCCCAAGTCCATATAAGGAGATCACCCATCCATTCCCCAACTACTGTGAGACTTTTACCCACTCTTACAGTACAAGAGATCTGAGAATTTAAATCAACCAGTATGAATTATTTTCCTTGGTTAACAATATTTGTCGTTTTTCTGATATTTGCGGGTTCCTTAATTTTCTTTTTTTCCCCATAAAGGAAATAGGGTTATTAGGTGGTATATCATATGTATATGTATTTCATTGTCTGAGTGACATTATTGAAACTTTGCAGGTTGATGTTTTTTCCTTTGGGATTGTGCTCTGGGAAATTCTGACTGGCGAGGAACCCTATGCTAATATGCATTATGGAGCAATTATAGGTTTGCCTTACTCAATCCTCATTTTATCTTTGTCTCTTGCTGTTCAGTACTGTCATCTTCTTTTATTGCCTTCTTGACATGAAATAAAGCTGCTTTCAAAATTAAACGAGTGAGTGAGGAGTGTGAGCTCAATTAACAGCAAAAAGCAACAATAACCAATTTTTTTGACTGGAAGAAAAAACTGCATAAAAGTGTAATGCATAAAGTCAGGTATATTTAATATTCATCCCCAAACGACAGAATGGTCGTTTTTATATTTAATTAAGAGAGGTTTAGTCTCTTCAAGGACCAACACGTTGAATGACGTTGATGCACTTAAGAGTCAGATGTCGATACTCTAGCTGAAAGGCACTTAGAAAAGCAATTTAATGAAGATAAATAGAAGCATAGCAAGTTTAATTGCTTCTAGTTTCTACTTCTCGAGTGCCACCAATCTTTTTGAAAGCCTTTTGGAATGTTGAGCGTGGCTGAACATACAGTAAAATCTGTAATGGAACACTTTTTGCTTCCCTTAGTCCCATCTCATCCATAGAATGCCAAAGGTGTTTCTCAGGGTAATTCTATCGGTCCTCCCATACTGAACTAGGATGCGTAGCAACTGTCATAAAACCTTCACGTCGTTTATTTATTAATTAACATAGCCAGGAATTATGAGAGCTAGAGTTGGAGTTCAGGAACTCATGCCTCCTGATATCTCATGTTATATGCAGGTGGTATAGTCAACAACACCTTGAGACCACCCGTTCCGAGCTTCTGCGATCCTGAGTGGAGAATTCTTATGGAACAGTGCTGGGCTCCAGACCCTTCTGTTCGGCCATGCTTCACCGAAATTGCCAGACGTTTGCGTGCTATGTCTGCGGCATGCCCAACAAGACCACAAGCTCATCCACCTCAAAACCAACAGCCTAAGTAATCTGCATTCCTGCCTCGATATTCTACAAGAAGGATAATGAATATATCTGTATCATATTTAGTGGGGGAGAATTGCCTTCTTCAGGGTGTGAAATAACATTGTCGTTAAACTAATGATCGACAGAGTATATATATATATTATTCCAGAGAAGCATAAAAAAAAATCATGATATATTGCAACTTGTAAAGCATCATCATTTGTATCTAAAAGTGGAACTCTTTGGCCTACGAAAGAGACTGATGTTGGTTCTTGAGATTAAAAGAGTTTCAGCTTTTTCAATTTTTTGTATAGTAAAGCGAAGACGTTTAATCCCACCAATTATTTGGGTTTTTGCTCTGTTGGAATTAAGAACATTCTATCCCAGAACAAAATTTTCTTATGATTGCCTAAATGTTTTTTTTTTCTTTTGACAATCACTTATCAAAGTTTTAATATCATTAGAATGCTCACTTAATATTCAGATGAAGGAAACAATATTTAGAAAAGATTCTATAAAAATATGCATTTTTTGTATATGAAAAATATATTAAAAGTGGAGTATATATGATTGGTTTGATTCAGTTTTAGTTCACCCTTTACTTTTTGGTTGAAGGGAGGAAACAAAGAAGTTCAGAGAAGAGCAGTGGAAAGGTTAAAGGGAGGACCATTATATGGCATGGTCCACTCTTGGCTAAGCTCTTTGGCATTAATGAAGGTTAAAGGGAGGACCATCACATTAATGAAGATTACCAGGATTCTTCCTATAACTAGTGTCTATTACCCAATAATCACTTCTGCTCAATGCAATACATAAGCACTTGCAGCAAAGTTTCAAGATGGAAGTTAAACACATGTTAATGTCAAAAAGATGTCATGCAGAACATCCATTAATCTCAGTAACCATTTTTGGTGTACTACAGATCTCATGATAGATAGATAATATCCTTTGATTAGATCATTCATTCATTTGTTGAAACAAAAAATTATACATAGAATATCTGTCCAACATTTAGTAGGCTCTCATGAGGGACATTGAAGATTACACTATTTTCCCTGCATATTTTCCTAAGAAACGCATATATATAGTCGATAGCAATTTTCTTGTAGAACCTAGAGTCCCTCCTTGCTCTAACCACAGTGTTTCCAAGAATGTGTACAACCCCAGCATCTCTACAACGATTTAAGAATTCCATTTCATCCGCTTCTGCCTGGCTGCTCTCACGGCCTGATGATGTGACTGTGTTGTTCCCTTGAGTAGGAGATTTAACAGGAATTATTGAGTCCACTGTCGAACTTGTGAAGTCATTATCTCCTGTAGTTGAGTTGCCATTACTTCGCAGTAGGTAACTCGCTGAATGCTGAGTTTGCTGCCCGTATAAGCTGTATTCATCGGAGTCAGAGCAACCTTCCATCATATTCTCCAGCCGGACAAACAGGAAGAGGTTATCAAATAGCTTTCTCTCGAACTCCTCATCTTTCTTATGGAGGTCTTTGTAACCATACCTTGCAACACAACGGAACATGTGAAAACTCTTGGGTCCTATGCGCTTCATGAGGAACCTCTCGTCTTCTGGAACAGTGTAAACTGGAAGATACTTCACACAGACAAATACTACAACTGAATGTACAGCTGGCAGATTTGTGATGAAGTGAGAAAAGATATGTGGCACTCCACTAGCTAGCTCGGTGTAGACAAGTCCTATCCCAGGGACACGTACAAGTCCTAAGCTGGGGCCAAGCCCAAGAATCCATGCCATTGATACCTTGCTGTGCATTTCAAATTCATAACGTTTCACAGTTCCGTAATGCCAGACATACATGATGACAAAAAAAGCTGCAGCAATCACAAGTGGAACCCAACCACCCTGATCAACCTTAAATAGCACCGCAGAGAAGTAGGTACATTCAACCACCAGAGATAAGAAGGTGAAGACAAGGACAAGAACCCAATGGCAGCGCCAAACTAATAACATTATTAAGGTCATGAGGAATGTCGTCACCAACATGACTATCACAACTGCCGTTCCTGTTCAAGAAAATGCTACATTAATATGTAAGTTTCACGTGAGGTGTTCCACATGGGGTTAATGTCAAATGCAGGACTCTGTTTCAGCCATCCTATTTAATTTTACGTGTTACATCTTCATTTAACAGGTCATTTTTATGCAAAACTAAGTCTACATATCTAAGTTGTTTTCTTTTAGGGTAGCACTATCCTACCTTATCTCATCTCAGCTTCATTTTCTTTACAAGACAAAATTTGGGTAGGGTAGAGCTTGACGGGGATAAGAGAATAAGGCAGGGGGGTCTTTAAAATTCAGATGAGAAAAGAGTTGTACGGGAGAATCCATGCTATTTAAGAAGTATAGCAGCAACTCCCCAATCCTAACGAAGTAGTTTTTCCAGAATCCAATGAACAACTCCATGCTTATTAACCTTGCAGAGCATATATTATGTTTTACTTTTTGACAATTGAGATTTTGCTCGGATGGTAAGCACCCTCCAACCCTAAGGTTGTGGGTTCGAGTCACCAGGGAGCAAAAAGGGTGGGAGCTCCTAAGGAGCAGTAAGAAAATGTCTTTTACTAAGTTAAAAAGCCTTGACTCTCTAAAATGCTTCTCTGTAGTTCAAATTTTGGTTGACTTCCCCTCTACTTTCTTCAATTATATCATCTTCAGTAGCATCACCATGAAACCCAATTTTGTATACTATCGGTTGATTTATCTATAATTAGGATAAACAAGTATGTGCTCATGGCAGATCCCTGCTACAAAGCGATTGCTACTGAAAACTCCTCTCTAATGTCATCCTACTGTTCTCACACGTAAAGGTCCTTCTAACATATCCTTAAGCAGCAGTTTCAGAAACCACACAACCAGCCACATCACATTTATCTGTATTTTGCATCAGGTAAAGTCAAACAAAATCAAGCAATATTATATTCAACACACATACTCACCATATGCGTTGCCAATTTGGCTTTGATTTCTGAATCCAGCAGTCACAGCGATGCAAAGAACCATAAGGATCCAATTTATATCAGGAATGTATATCTGGCCGAGGAACTTCTTTGATGTATGTACTACCTTGACTCTTGGGAAACAGCCATGTGCCAGAGCTTGCTTGATTATTGAAAACGTAGCGGTGATTGTTGCTTGACTTGCAACGATAGCAGCTAATGTTGCAACAATAAAAACTGGCCAGTATATGCTATCTGCATTACCAAAGAGATGATCTGTCAAAGACATTACAACTTCACACTTTAGCTTTTGGTGTCAGCTTCACTAGTAACAGAATTTCCATTTTCTTTTAACCCTTGTTTTTCAAAAAAAGGGCAGCAAAATGCTCCCTTCTAAAGACTGTAAAAAACTAACGTATAAATCGGGTACCAGAGTATTCAGACAACTATCCTTAAACTTTGAGCAGTCATTGACGACAAAAATGGTAGTGTAGAATTGAGGCATAATTACTGGAATAGAGCAGGTCGCAAGTGTCTGACACATCACTAGATAAAATGGATGGATTATAATATTGGAATGAGTTCTTTAGATCCATCAGCTCCACGGTCAGAAATGGCCACGGAATACATTCTGATGTTTGGTGTGGGAACTCAACTTGGAAAGACAAATTCTTCATAATCTATTTTTTATCACAACTAACAAGGAGGCTACAAGCAGATCTTCTCAGAAAAGATGGATGTCAAGTGTAATGAAAATGCCCATCAACATATGAGTTGGAATGATCTCGATGTCTTTTCCCAGAAGATCTACAGTTATACTAGCTCTGGACAAGAAGACAACATTTGGTAAGGGTCATCATCAAAGAACTTCTTGGATAAGTTCTATTATGATTGTATTATTCACGGGGAAGGGGGTTCGAGGAAGGGACTCGAGGCCTATGTGGATACAAATATGGAAGACATGAGTACCCAAGAGAAAAGCTTTCTTCACCTAATTGTCTCATGGAAGTGCTCTCCTAATGACAGGCAATATGAGAAGCAAGAGGATGATAATAGTTAGTTAGCACTGCTTCTGTAAGGGAAGTGGGTTAGATACAATCACACATTGCTTTACTGTATCTTAACTACAGAGTTACTATCCTAGGTGTATGCCATGTTTGATGTGGCCTGGGTGCTACCTAGAACCGTGGAAAATTACTGGTGACTTGGAGATTGAGATATGAAGCAAGAGAAAAATGTGTTGTGGAAAGTATCATGTTTCTGCATTTTTGGCTGAAAATGGGAGAAAGGAACAGAAGCGTTTTGAAGGAATTGGAAGTCCGATGGGGAGAGTAACTATCTCTTCTTTATTCCATCTGTACTTCTGATGTAGAAAGGATACTCCATGTTATACAGATCAGTGGGGTGGATTTCTTTGCAAGCTTAATCTACACTCAACATAAACCTTGATGAGACGTCAACAAAAGCACCTTGACTTATAAAAAGAATCTAGTTTCCATTACAGTGAAAACATGGAATAGAATCCACATGTTATACAGATTTGAATGGAATTTTTTGAAAGCTTAATCTACACACAATATAAGTCTTGATGTGACATCAACAAAAGCATTTTGACTTATAAAGAGAATCTAGTATCCATTAGACCATTACAATGAAAACAAGGAGTGCAATCTAACAAGTAAAACTAATTTTCAAAGGCAAAGTTTAGTGGAGCAGGAAGACTGCAGTATCTTCAAGTATAACTCGAGCAAGGCGCATCTTTTGGGCCGAAGGGCACAGCACCTTAAGACTATTTTTGAAACTGGTAATGTTAAAAGAAAGGCACAGCACCTTAAGACTGCCTCTCTTAATTTATCATTTGTAGGAGAAAGGGTTTTTAGCTTCAGTAGTATTCAGTGCATGATTCAGTTTTGAAAGAGTATTCAGTGCATGATTCAAGAGTACTGCTTTCTGTAAAGGAATATTTTAGAGAAACTGGAAAATATTCATTGGATAAAATTTGGTCTTGGGTTCTCCTTTTCTAAACCGGTTTACCAACACAGTCTTAACTTGCAACAAGTCCATTCTAGCTGTCTCACTTTGTGACCAGAGTCGACATACTTTTTCTTTACTTCTTCCAATTCACAAAGTATGCTCTAATGACAAAAGTTAGGTAAGTTAGGGACATATCAGGAAAAAAGTTTAGAAAACTAGGGACATGCAAACTGACAGCTGTCAATGAAAACATACTCTAAGCTCTATTGACATACAACTCATTAGCATTCACACTACTAATCGATTTTGACACCAACGTGGACCAAAACCAATAGATGTAACAACATTTATTCAAGTTAAGAAAGCAAAACATGCCTGGAATAGAACGGTAGAATGCATCGACAACATGTTCCTTATTTTGCATGAGGTATGCTGCTTGCCCCATATATGTTAAAAGAAGGCAAGGGAAAACAATGACTGTGAAAGCAAGCTGTATTGCTGACACCGGAAAATGAGCAAGATCAGCAAAAAGTGCCTCTGTTCCTGAAGTAGTCAACAAGGAACTATCAGAATTCAAACGGTCATTCTTAACCATCTAAGAAGCTATTGAGATATGACAATTCGAAGAGATGTTTGTGAAGAGGATAAAACCTGTGATGCTGAGCATTATTCCTCCCAGGGATGTCCAACTGTCTTTCTTTCTCCTCCTAAAATATCTATATATGTACACAGGAGAAAAGGCCCTCACAACAGAGCTATCATATTTCCAGATGTTGAAGATGCCAATACCTCCTACTAAAAGAAACCAAAGCAGCACAACTGGAGCAAACAGCCAACCAACCCTGTCTGTGCCGTAGTGTTGTACGCTAAATAAACCAACTAATATAATGACAGCAACAATCACTACAACATCTGCATCAAAGGATGGATATTAAAGTCATGGAAAATGATTAAAACAGAAGCGGTTAAGAAGATGAATCAACAAAGGAAAAAAAGTGGTGTTAACAAATAAGTAGAATAGTACCATTACTCATCTTTGGATGGTCCACCTTGATCCCACCGGAAGCTGAAAGAACTGAGAATTTTTTTCCCGAATAAGTTCTTCATCATAAACTTAGAACATAAAAACTAATAGAAACATAAACCAAAATATAGAGTATAAATCTTCATAAGATTTCTCATACTCTATCACACCAGAACTAAACCATTTTCCTTTTGACTAAAATATTTTATTATTGTTAGAGAACAGTATTGAAAACATCCCTGAACTTGGCATAATTATTAGTTTCATTCCCGAACTATTGACAACCTTAAAAACACCCCTCTACTTGACTAACTAAACTTAGATACACGCCGAGTTTAGGGGTGTTTTCAATACTTCTCTCTTATTATTATAATTATAAAAAAAAGTCTCTTTTTAGTAATTTCTAAATGCATAAATTTTATTTTTTAAAGAATTAAAAAGTGTATTCTGAATTGAGAACAAACACAAAATAGATTAATTTCATACTCTGAATCAAGTCATTCTTTTCTAAAGGACTTAAGTGCCTTGATCTCAGTACTACGAAACACTTACTTCCGTTTCTAATTGTGGCATTGGCAGGAAACATATACAAAGAGTAAAGATACCATATAAAGTGGCATGCTTTACTTGGCTGGTAGTGAAAGAAGCTGCTCTAAACCAGGACAATCCGAGGAAAAGGGGTATATCAATTTGTTCAAGGTGCTACTTTTGTGGCCAAGAGGCCAAGACAATCAGCCATCCGTTCCTATAATGCAAAGTGACTAGTCATCTGTGGGACTTGTTCTCGACCTCAGGGATATTAGATGGGCAATGCCAGGATGAACAATTGACTTTCTATCATGTTGGAATGATGAAGGGGAAAAATACTACCAACAAAGCCAGATGGAATATTGTCCCAGCAGCTATTTGATGGACTGTCTGGAAGGATAGAAACTTCAGATGTTTTGAAGATACAGCTAGTACTATTCAGAAGATCAAGAAGAACTGCATTCTCCTTTTTTGTTTTTGGTGTGAAGCTAAATATATTGATGATCTAGATTCTATTCTACAGGTTTTAGATTCCTTGTAAGAAGAGCAAGGATTGTATCTTGGTTTTTGTTGTAAACACCTTTTGGCTTCCAGCACAATCTTTGTGCTGAAGATTCATATGACATACGGGAATATGTTACTTCCTCAAAAAATAAAAATTGTGGCATTCAATCGGATTAAACTTTCTCTTTTGATCAGAATTACTAATGAACACTACCACCTTTAGTTATCCATCATAGGCTATACGAGGTGTTGTCTCTACTAGGTTGTGCATTTTTATCGAGGGTTAAGCTGGTCCTTGATGGATTTAGGTCATTCAGGTTGCAATCATATCCTACCGATTGTAAATTTTTTCACCATAAACTAGAATAATGACCTTCTGTCAATCCAGTAGACGACAAGTAAAAGACAAGCTTCAAACAAGTACCTGATATAGCCGGAGTAAGAATTCCATCACCTATTACCGTGCAAGTGCCTATAACTACAAGAATAAGAAGCGAGTTCTTCCTGAACGGATATGCCTCCAACCATCTTTTTGTTTTTGCAGCAAATGAGTGCTCATGGAATGTGCTGCGACTATAAGTTGTCAGCTCTTCATCTGTCCGGTGTTGGTTGGGAATTGTCTTTATCTTAGCATGGCGACATAACAAAGAATAAAGAGCAAAAGTCCCACCTGAAAAGACATAAAACTCAATTTTATCCTCTTTAACTTTTTCATGCATTAATTAGAGAACATATCTTTCATATTGCTCTACAGTTGGGAGTTGATTTATGAAAAATGTAAAGCACATGAGAAAAAAGGAAATTAAGTTAACTTAAATACCAATATCAAATGAATGCATGCAAAATGCAAAGTCCTTAAATGTAAATGTAGAATGAGCTAAGTTCACTACCTTCATGATGTGTCTCTAACATTGTCAACATAAGCAAAATGATCTTAACTTCATTTATTGCAGTAAATAATTAACTTCAATTGATAGGCAAAATGATCTTTAAATTCAACATATAGTAACTGCATCTCCATGTGAAATTAAGATATACTTAGCAAACAACTATATATCTTAACAGTATTATCCAGCAAGCTTTTCTCAAATTGCAATACAATCTAAAATTTTCATTCACCCTTTAATCATTTCGACATTTTCAACTTCTGCAACTTCTTTGATCCTTGCCCTGTTCAATTTATTTTCTTTTTCTTCTGAAACAGCGGAGAAGTAGAGATTTTTAAGGGAGAGAAGAGAAGAAGTCTCTGTAAATGGAGATTTTTAAAAACAGACAATAACAAGGTCAAATCTTGCCCAAAAAGTAAAACATGGTCATCATCGCAGCCTCTTTCGCGCAATTACTCCAAAGGGGGGAAAAACAACATACTCACGCATTGAGACCTACGGCTGAGCATATTTTCAATTTGTTTGTGTAATTCATAAACAAGGGCTGTTGGTTAAGTTGCATCCTTATAGTTTCATCTCTATATCTCTATCTCTCACATAGACAGACACACAAACAAGCATACAAATCCTTTTGACTACTTCAACCCAACTTCACTGCTGAACTGCTACGTCAGTTTAAGCCAGAATTGAAGGGTTCTCTCCAACTTGACCAGTCTTGAAACTGCATTAACTGGACAAGGGAGCAAAAAGACCCAACCTGTCCAGCCAATAAAAAGGTGCCTAATCAAGTTAAGCCAGTAACATCCTGTTTCAACAATGTCTTAGCAACATTTCTCTTGAAAGTTACAGCTACCAGTGGAATAAACATTTCATACAGGAAAGCAGCTCAGTATGACGGCAAGCAAAACTTAAAAACCATGAGACATGCATAATACATAATCATCAACTAAATCAGATGAGTGACTTGAACTCCGGAACTAGCTTACCTTGACCATTGTCGTTTGCTCTACAAACTATGAAAACATATTTGAGGAGAGGGATAAGTGTGAGGGAATATATAATTAGTGAAAGTGCGCCAATGACATCCTCTGGATCATCAATTCCATGGGGAAATGTATTGTAGAACACATACAAAGGAGACGTCCCCAAGTCTCCATAAACCACTCCCAGACTCTGAAAAGCAAGCCGCAGAAGCAACAATGACGAGAAAGTCTGAATTAAGACAACTGAATCAGCACACTGGGAGAATGAGTGATCACAACAAAAAATGAACTCATAATTTACTCCATTCCGTAATCAACCAAATACTCACAATAATGGGATCATAAACACTCATAATAAGTAAAAACATGACTATAGAACATCTGTATATAGGTACCAAATCAATATTTGTCAATTGCTCACCAATAAGACATCATCTACTTTTGAGTTCATAAACATGAAGTCAACAGGTTTTCAACATGAAAAATTATCTTCCCACACCCTACCCTCCACCGAGCCACCTACCCCCACCCAAAGGGCGACAAGGAGAAGAAAAACAGCCTTCCACATGACATGAATCGAGAAACATGCTAGGATCAAAAGAGTAATTCAACCAACATTAAGATGAATTAGAAGATACAATAGACTATTCAATTACATATAACAAATTAGTCCCCTGAATAAAAGAAAAATATTAAAGCAAGCAGAAAAGAGTAAAAGTGCATCAATCAAGTAAACTAGAAGAAAAGCTACATCTTACCTTTTCTCTATACATATTTCTTAGTCTTCCTGCCTCTTCATCCATAGGCTGATCAAGCTTTTGGTCTAAATCCCACATGCCTCCTTTAGTTTCACCACTGTCTTCATCAAGCCCCATCCCTGAAGCCATCTTTCAAGACAACTATGATTCAAGAAGATGCAAACCTAATAGACAACATTCAACCACCTAACCTTTCTAATCAACCTAAATGAACACTCAATTCAATTCAAAGAACTGATCAACTTCCAAAATGAGTTTACCAAAAAGTCAAAACTGGAAATGAAACAGTTCAAGAACACCAATCATATAAATTTTTCATGAGTGGGGTCAGCTCGAAATCCAACTCCAATCAATAAAAGCCACAGAAAATCAAGAAACCAATTCAGAAACCTGTTTTCCCAATTTAGCTAAATACCCAATTCTCCTTCTTTTCCCAAAAATGGTTCAAAATTCAATTTTGAACCCAAATAAATTCAACTATGAGGAAATGAGAAAACCCCCAATTCATGAACCGACAGATAAAAGATGAATTTACGTCTGCACAAAGAAAAGTCAGTTTTTTGGGGGGTCTTTTTTTTTTCCTTCTTTCTTTATGTTAGTTCCTGTGCATCCTGCGGCTTCAACAGGAACTCATCTCCTCATTTTCCCCCTATATATGTGCTATGTTCCTCTCCTGAGGAAGAAGAAATTACGAATCAAAACAGAAAATTCCATCGTTTTCATATGCTTCTTTTGTCTCTCTCTTCTCTCTCAAGGTCAGATAGAGAGAGATGTCATATTTGTTCTGCTGGCGTGGCGGACAGAGAAAGAGAGAGAGGTCACCAACGTTTGGGGTGAATTTTTTTTAATGCAAATTCAAATTTAATCAACTTAGATATACATATTAACACATATCACTTTGTTTGAATAATTATTATGTAGTATTATTTTATAATGTATCATATAATATTATATTATTTAAATGAATACAATGTTTGGATATATTATATCTTCTTGTTGCATAATGTCATATATTTATAATTTGAATGATAAACTCGTAAGAAAAGTATGATACATAGAGCTACTATAAAAAGACAAGATAAAAAATAAAATATGATTATTAAATAATAAATACAGATAAAATAAGAAGAAAATATATGATCACACAAATCGATTGTTATATAAAATTGGTTTTTTTTGTAGTTTACTAATAATAAATTTAAACGATATGGTACAATAAAATTTGCGTAACAATCAAAACAAATATTATATTTAAATATATAATACAATATAATGTGCAATTAACAATAATCCAAACAAGGTGCTAATGAGTATGCACCTAAGTAAGGATTGGCGAATATCAATTTTTTCTCTAATGGTCATGTTTTCAACATAATTCAAACTATTCGATATCTCGTATCTAGTATTTTATTTTTAAAATTAAATTAATTATCTTTTCATATCGAATTATAATCGCCACGTATCAATCATCATTCGATAATTCATCAACCCTATATTTACTCCATATAATTTCACGAGCAATGCATCAACCTTAACATCTATGAAGGAAAAATAGTTCTTGCTTATTAATCAATCAAATTAAAAGATTAAACTAAAGCAAAAAGGACAAACAAAAAGTTAAATAATATATTATCATCAGCAAAGCCACTAAATAGGTATTAAGAGGATGAATTTAGGCTTTAATACGATTTGAAAATGATTTGATCAGATTATTTTTTTCCCTTTTAGTATAAAGCATAAATAAAAAGAAAAAAAATTAGGCCTACCAATATTGTGTAATTCATGTGATGTTAAAACCTACCATTTTTGTATTAACAAATTCATGTATTATTTAATTTGGTTCTTCATAATAAAAGAAAGATATAAGAAAAAGACACAAAACATTTATTTAATAATTAATATACGTAGGTTCATATATTTGTGACAATATTTTAAAATTTAATATTATTCCCTAATTATTGTAGCTTAAAGAGTGTTCACATGCTTGAGGACCCACAAAATTTGATGATGGAAATCCATATAGTTTGTAGTTTTTTACATTAATTCTAGTTTTTTTTTTCCAAGTTTTAAAATAATGTTTACATGCATGACGTATTTTGTTTAATTAGTGTCTACTTTCATTGAATTTTCATATGATGATGTAACATAAATCTAATTTTTTTCTTAACCAATAATCTCTTCAATGATAAGATCAAAGATTTCACTCTTATCTGTCCAAAAATAGAAAAATAAAACTTTTGAATTTTCATTTTTTTTCTTTTCTCCATTAGGGTAGGTATAGGGAAGGGGGAAAGGGTGTTTTTTTAATTTATATATATGTGTGTGTGTTTGACTTTCTGTAGATGCATGATTTCAATTTAATTGATTTGTTTCTAATCATTCGATGTCTGATACTCTTACAATTCATATAATTCGGATTCATGTAAGAAATAATCACTTTTAAAATTAAAGCTTTGAACATATGTGAGTAGTTTGATAGTTTGAGCTATATCATTATTTGATGGTGATTGAATAGTGAGTGCAATTTTAGATATTCATGAGTCAACAATGATGTAAAGATAGAATTGAATTCTAATATATTACTCCCTCCGTCCCATTTTATATGTCATTCCTTTTTATAAATAGTTAGTCCATAATACTTGTCATTTCATAAAATCAATGCATAAATTAGCATATTGTTCCTTTTTGTAACGATCGGGTTCCGTCGTTATAGAAATGCCAACGAGGGAAAAATTGGGGCTGGAAAAACTTTTTCGTAGTACTTGAATCTTCCCAACCTTGTCCAGTTTTGGACGAAATCAGAGTCATTGAGGTGTGGGTAAATCTGGTAACAATCGGGTGGAGTAATTATAGTTTTGATTGCATGAGTGGTTAGATAACTTGTTAAGGAATTCGTACGACTTTACGAAATTGAATTCGGGCGAGTAGAACTCACAGAATCGATCTTAGCGTGAGGGGTATTTTCTGATCATCGTGGGTTAGAGATGTGTAGTGAAAGGGGATTTTGGAATTTCTTCAGTTGACTATCTGGTTTCGTTTGTGTCGCTTTGGCGGGAGTCTGTCCGCTTTGGTGGGGACGCTATAGCGGGACATGTGGCGCTGTAGTGGGTATGACGGGACTTGAAATCGTAGAAAATGATGGATAGCTCACTAGTTCGAAAATGCCGCTATAACGGGACTTGATATCGCTTTGGCGCCGCCGCTACAGCGGAATGAGGGCCGCTGTGGCCGGCCAGATGCGACTTAATGTCATTAATAAACCTTTAAATGGCCTTATTTGACACTTTTCGACTTTTAGAGCTAAGGAACGACCCCCAGACGATTTCTACTCATTTTTCACCATTCTTGAGGCTAAATGTAAGCTTTTCACTCCCCGAATCCGTTTCTCGATCCGTAAAATGTAATAGAATGGGTGAATATTGATGAGGGGAAGGTTTTGTTATAGATTCTATGGTGGAAACAACCCTAGTTTGGATGTTTGAGACCACGGGTTAGATCTAGGGTTCATAAAATTGTTATAGTTTCGGGTAATTAACGATTGTTTGTTGATTTCCGTGTTATTGTGATTGTTTGTAGACTAAGAACAAGCGAAACGAATCCGGAAAGGAAATGATCAAGTTTCTTAGGGTTTCAAGCTTGTTTCGAGGTAGGTGATGGTTGTGATTCTATATTTGTGTGATGTATGCTTGTTCTTGCTTTATTATGATACTTGTGTATATATGAATGTTGCAATATTGACCACACATATTGTAAATGAGATAGATGAATATCATTGCCATGAAATCATGATGTAAATGTATGATTTTGATGATGTACTAGTGATTGTGATTGTGGTGTGTGAATGGGATCGGTTGCCACGTTTCGGCATATCTAACTTGGATCGGTTGCCACGTTTCGGCATAAAAATGGGATCGGTTGCCACGTTCCGACATAAATATGGGATCGGTTGCCACGTTTCGGCATGCTAACTATTTGAGTTTGGGTTCCGTGAGAGGACCAATGATTTGTGATAAATGCATATTGATGAGCATGTTGATAATATTGTAGATGTTGATATATATGCAAGTGATTGTAATGTTGTTTGACTTGTTTATGTTGCACTGGTGGGATAGCCGCGTGATCCTACCAGTACACTGTGGTTGTGTACTGATTCTGCACTTGCTCTTATTTTTGTTGAGTACAGGGCATCTTTACGCGACTACTGACAGACCTCGCTTAGAAGATCAGTGATCGACACTTCGAATTCAAGGGTGAGCCAATTCTTTCAGGCTGCCATGAAATTCTCTTTCGTCTTTGTCCATCATTTTCGGACTTAGATATTTATTCTAGTTAGTTGATTAGTTCATTAGTTGGGGATTTATCCCTTCTTGTTTAGACTTGGATCATTGATTAGATGTTTTGGTACATTGACTTTCAGGTTCTGGGTATTAAATTTCTGCATTTGTTAGTTAATTAACTTTCTTCCGTAACTTAATTGCCTTAGTATTGTTTTAGTTGCTTAGTTTTGTTGTAGTAGTGGTTCTCCCACCGAATGGTTAGTGTGGGTGCCAATCACGACGGTATGGGTCGTAACACTTTTTTACCCTTGTGAGTTATTAGCATTGAAAACATACATTTGATCAACTTAGAAAAGTTAAGTAAATGATTCATGTTCATTGGTTAAATTAATTAATCAAAATAAATTACTCCCTCCGTCCCATTTTATATGTCATCCCTTTCTATAAATAGTTGGTCCATAATACTTGTTATTTCATAAAATCAATGCATAAATTACCATATTATTTCTTTTTTAACCTTGTGAGTTATTAGCCTTGAAAATATACATTTGACCAACTTAGAGAAGCTAAGTAAATGATTCATGTTCATTGGTTAAATTAGTTAATCAAAAGAAATTAATTCATATTCATTGATTGAAAACTTAAGTTCTAAAAAAATTAAATAAGGGTAGAAGGGTAAAGTTACATAATTTTTTAATGCAAATGCAAAGTAAAAAGATGACATATAAAATGAGACGGAGGGAGTAATTCATATTCATTGATTGAAAACTTGAGTTCCAAAAAAATTAAATAAGGTTAGAAGGGTAAAATTACATCATTTCTTAATGCAAGTGCAAAGTAAAATTGTGACATATAAAATGGGACGGAGGGAGTATATATATACTCCTTTCTCTGTCGACTTTTAATTGTCATGTTGCGTTTTTTAAAAGTCAATTTGATTAATTTTCAAAGTTAAATTAGATTACATTAATTTGATATTTTAAATAAAATTTTTAAATATTCAAAAACTATACGAAAAGTTCTATAAATTCCATTATTTTTTTGCATATCAAAATGATGAAAAATTACATCTGAAAATTTTAGTCAAAATTATTATTGTTTGACTCTAAAAAAAGAAACTACGACAATTAAAAGTGGACGGAGGTAGTATGTACGATGAAACTGAATATTTGTGCGATCAATTTAGGATCAAATCATTGTATTAATTGTTATTAGAATCTATAATTGAATTAATTTAAAACTATTGGTGCAGTTATATCTAGATCAATTAATGAAATATCAATCAAGATTTTA